ACTGGTCACCACAGAGAAGAGATCAGTGCCTGCCCCTCCACTTCCCCTTGTGAGGAAGATGAAGTTGTAGGACTCCAGTGAGGTGTCCCCTCAGTCTCCTCTTATCCAGGGCTGAACAGATCAAGTGACCTCAGCCACTCCTCATACGGCTTCCCCTCTAGACCCTTCCCATCTTTGTAGCCCTCCTTTGCACACTCTGTGTGTCTAGTAAAGGTGGACTATATCATAAAGAGCTCAACTGAATGTTTTGCACTTCTGCCTGCAGCCCAAACACACCAACAACATTTAATGCTTTCTCACATGTATGCATTTAATTTTGGCCATCTGTCTGAAGACTGCCCATCCTGAGGCTTCACTCATTTCTAGTGTGTTTCCAAAAAAACTTTTTTGGTTTCAGTAAGTGTAGCAATACTTACTTCACCTCTGTGTAATTAAGTCATAGTCTCCTCTTACTCAAATGCTTAGGCAGTTTTGGAAAGCAAACTGTGAAGCTTTGTAAAGTTTTAATCCTGTCATTAAATCTCACTTCAGGGTCTTTGGTTCCTGCTAAAATGGTATAAAAGAACTTAATATCCCCAGTACCATTAATTCCCTGCAACTCCTCAGCTGCCTGTCAGGAATCCAGCCTGTATTTCCTAAGTCTTTCTAATATGTCCTCTTTTCTGACAGTTACAGTTACTACAATATCTGTCCTTTATTTTAAGTATAAATGAATTAATTACTTCCAGGAACCCGAAACAAGTATTTCTCATTTTAATGGATTTCATACTGTCTGGGAAGATAAAATTCCATTAAAAGCATGAGCCTTTAAAGATGAACCAGGGCACATAGTCTTTTTAGGACATGTCGTACTCCCATGGTTTATAACACTGCATGGAATTTAAGTCTCTGGGCCAAATCCTTGCCTGTGTGCTGAATTTTGGAAATATAAGTCTGACAGAGAAGCTGCTGGAAAGGGCACTTTGAAAATCTGAGAGTGCATTTTTAGTAGCAACACCTACTGTAGGAATCCTAATCATGGCTCAAGTACTGCATAAAATCAGAGCAAAAATGCAGACATTGCCTTACAGCACTGAAAATGCAAAATATTAGATAGGGGGCAAAAGGCTGATTCAGAGCTAAATACCAGATGGAATTACCCCTAGGAAAAGTTCATCATATTGGAGTGTGAGGCTCATCTAAAGGGATGTTGCTAGTCTGAATTACTTCACAACTATCCATTCCTAACAGAGAGAGAAGCACTAAGGTGATAGCTTTCACCATGTCTTCTCTTTGCCCAAAATGGTGGCTGTCACTCTTTTGGTAGAACGTCTGCTCAGGCAGGAGTAACTACTTGTGATAGCCCAGCCTTGGTCTATCTTCTCCTGGGAAAAGTGGCCAGCTGAGGGGATGCTGGGATGCTAATTCAAGTGCTTGTTTGAAGTTTAAGCACACCTTGAAATAAGGTGAACCGACAAAACCCAACATGGTTAGAAAAATCACTGGTATTTAGTTCTTGGCTACCTGGGGAAATACAGCTTGCTATCCATTCCTACTGGCATATGTTGACTTGTCTTTTCATTTTAAACTGTTTCCATTAGAAGAAATGGAGTGTGTCAGGCCTTAAGCTTCTGGATAACAGGACATGGCAGTTTGTCATTTAGGACAAAAATAACTGCAGCTTCACCGTCAGGGTTCATTATTGTCAGCTGGAGTAGATCCCTGCCTAGGTTACCATGTACATGTCTGACGACGTGGTATGTCCTCTTTGTGTTTGTGAGGGGTTGTCTGTATGTTATGGATACACTTGAGATAAGCTCTCTGTGCCCAGTCCCTTCAGGGTTACTGCCCAGGCTGAAAAGATGGGAAAACTCTGACGTGAAATTTGTGACAGGGCACTAGAATGGTCATTGTTGCCAGATTAAATTCAGACTAAATCCTTTTAAAATCTGTATAGTTAATGGGATAGCTGAAGTCATTGCTTTTCCAGGTATTTAATAAATTAAAGAAGATGTAGGATAGGAACCTGTAGATGAACTTGGTCTACTTTCAAATACGCTTCTGAATTTCCCTGGATTTTGAGATACCTGGTGATTTCAGATAATAGACATGACCTCACCTAATCTATGCCAACATTTTCCCAGGTGCTTACTTGTGAACATGCCATCAGTGGAATTGAAAATACCCACTAAACAACTGGAACCACAGAAGGTAAGTGTTACTTTATTTTTACCAACCAAATTCATGAGTACAGTGTACAAGTCTAATATGCTTTGACATCCAGGCCCAGAACAGCAGCACACAAATATGTCAACATTACATTATAAGGAACAAAACACTCTTGTTGAGATCTGATGAGAAATTTTCTCATTAGTGTATTTCATTGAAAGATAAGTACTAACAGCCTTGTACTCTGCATGAGCTGTCAGAACTTTCCATAGCTCTGGGAGCTTGAGAAATAATAATAATGTAACATTAGCAAGTTTCTTATTTGTTCAGTCCTGGAATGAGGACATCAACAGAGCAACTTCCCTTCAATCTGTTGACATCATGGAAAACTAAACTGGAATAGGAAAGATGAAGAGGGCATCAAGCCTGGTAAGCAAAGGAGGATAATGAAATTCAGGAGCCAGACAAACACAATATTAACTCCTACAGCAGAGACAAATCACTTTAGATGGGAACAAAAGAGGCTGCCCACAGCAGTTCTTGTCTGAAATACACAAAGGGGTCTAGTAGCCTACATTTCAGAGATCCTCCAATGTCTTGGACACTCACATTTTGGACTGCAGGTGATTGCAGAAACAGTCCTCTGAGGTGCCTCACTCGCACTTAAACGTGCCAGCTGGGAGGTGCCTACATTTTTCCATCTTGCTCCTAGCATCATAACACACAGCAGGTGCTTGAATCCAGTGAAACACAGAACAGTGGCTGCTGCTTTCTCTCCGTGAGTGATGAATAGGAGACACCTCTGCCCGCCTTCCCATAAGGACCTTGTGGGTTTGCAGTGCCACAGACCAACCCTGCAAGCTGAAAGGCCAGTCTTTGTGTGGTGGGGATTGCAGGAGCCTGCCCAAAGCATTAGATTATGGAAAAGGCTTCACAGGACAACTTTCCCCTTAAAATTGAGCCCTAGTGTAAACTCAGACACAAGAAATGTGAAATAAAAGGAGAAAAAATTAATGATCTGACTGCAGCTTTCTTTTGAGGGAAGGCTTGGACTTATGTTTCCTCTTTCAATAGTTATTTTTGTGTTTCTTACTCACTGTGTTTTTTATATAATACTGATTGTATGTAAAATGCATGAACTAAGATCTAGGCAATGAGTAGGCCCCAAGTGTTCTCTCTCTGGTGAGGCTACTTCTGGCAATTCCTGCTTCTACTACGTCTCTCCAGACCATGAAAATTATTTCCTATCTACCCTTCTCCAGTTAACACAACCTTTGTGCTCTCTATATTGTTTTCCTTCTGATTTGTTGCAAACATTTCCTGTTTTCTAGCTGTAAGCAATTTTTGTCAGATACTCCCTAGAGGGACCTAATTCTTTTCAGTCATTGAACATTGACCTTGGAAGGACTTGACTCTTCCCATTGACTGTACAGAGCAGCCTTTGGCTCTTTAAAATCAACTTCTGACTCCAGACACTGAATATTTAGGTACTGCAGTGCCCAAATTGGAAGTGCATAAAATTCCAAGTGTCTTCTTGTCCTGAATAGATACCTGTGTAATTTAAAGAACAGTTAAAATATTAACATGTTTATAAAGTTAATGTTAAAGTGTTAATGTTTACAAAGTGCTTGGAAATGTGTAAGAATAGAGGGCTCTGTTATATAGTGTAAGAGTTTTGCAGCAAATTATTTAACATTAAAATCTTATATTGAATAATCGAAGTCATGGAAAGTAGTCTCTGTAATGCAGGGAGTTATTCAAATTATATTTACCACCCTGAACAAAAGTTGTCTAATTTTTGCTATTTATTTCAGACACTCAGTGAAGGAGGAAAAATGTGAAGATAGAGTGTTTACTACTGGTGTGAAACACTCTGAAAAGACATTTGCTTTTAGAAGCTGAGTTTTCATGGTTTATACTTGGCTGGAGCAAGTAAGCAGAAGGCATTTAGTCCTGAGTAATGTGCATATATCTCTGTGATTCTGGTGTCATTTTTTCGCTTTGCAGCTATGCAGAAGTTTTAGTTATGTGTGAAGTTATGAGAAAAAACAGCTGTTTGGCATACATGATGGCTTATCTTAAAGTGGGTGAATCAAAGTAAAACTTGCAGTGTTTGACATGCAGATGTATTAAGCCTGCTGTTATCCAAAGGTCAAAAAGATATTTATAGATTAACTGGTGTTAAAGAAAATATTAACTATTTGCAAACTTAGGATACACTTGGGAAAAAAACCCCACACTTCTGTAGCTTCTTTCTATGGCATTGTTTTACCCTTTGTTTAATGAAAAGACGTAAGTTTACTTTTCTCTCTTTTGTTATTTTCAATAGAAAGACAAAATATGCACTTACCCAGAATACCAGTGTTTATACAAGGGTGAAATCCCCACACACATTAACACTCCTTCAGTATTATTCAAAAGATATATAAGTTTTGTTTCCTGCTAATTACAGGGGAAACTGCAGCAGCTTAAATGCCATTATACAGGAGTTCTAGAGTGATGGTTATTTTAAATGATTTTGGAATAAATAAAATATTAATAAAATTTTATTATCCTTTTTAGGCATTTACTAGAGAAGTAAGAACTTGCAGAACATCTTTGAGTCAGGAGCTAAACAGATAATTCTTTGTTTAACTAGTTGTAAAGTCAAAAGAGCCTTTATTTGAAGTAGCTGTATTGTATACATCTTACATTTGATATATTTTGTCAGTAGCATAATCACAGGGAGAGAGGATTAAATACACTGAACTGAAAGGAACATATTTTGAACATATCCATATAACAGCCCCTTAATCTCTGGTGGCCTGTGTAAAAAGAGCTGCTCTGGAGATGTGGATGGTCCCTGTGAACAAGCAGAACCCAGCCTGGAGGGGTTCAGCTGCTGGGCTTCCTTAGAATAAACACCCAGAATATCATCATCACCCCAAAGAGTGCTGCATTCCATTAAAACCTCTCTGCGGGGAAAGGACTGGGGTTTTATTTTATTGTACTTTATTTTATTTCAATGACTGCATTTAACTCTTGTAAAAGAGCTGAAGGTGTGGAGAAGTGTTTTGGATTTCATGCTTCTTGCTAGACAGTTTTGGAGTGAAAAGGCAGTTACCCCAATTTGCCTAAAGTACCCAGGAAGCGCAGGGGGATCCTCTCGTCCTCTCCCAACAGCTGCTGCATTTCTGCACTTCAGTAATACCCACATGATGGCAGAAGAGAACAGACAGCTGCAGACACAATCTGTCAGGTTTAAGAGAAGCACCAAGTTAACTTCTGGTATTTTTGTGAAGCACTGTCTATATTTATCTGTTAAAGTATATAAACATCTGTAAGTATTTAAATGTAACTATATAGAACAAATGAATACGTGTACATATATACATAGTATGCATTTATAAATATAGATTTCTGATAAGTGTGAGGAAAAGTGGTTTTAGTTTTGGATGGGCCTTACTGTTCCTAAGAGTCAGAGAATAACAGAGATGTAAAAACAGTTGTCTTAAAACCCTTTCTTACTTTCATTGCCAGGAGCTGGTAATAGTTTGTTTTGTCTATACTGTTACACGGATAAAAATCTATGATTAAATGAGAGTAGGATGAGACTCTGAAAAGGAGAAAACCATACAATTCTAAGTCTTTCCACAGTCGGTGAAGCTCCAATTTTACTAACTTAGGGCAGGCTGCACTTAGCAACTGGAAAAAATAACAAAAAAAAGTGAACTTTGTTGTTACCACTCTACATAGTTTTACTGCATACATTGCACATACCAATGTTGAAAATCTCCCAGCCTCACTAATCCAAAATGATTTCAGACATGCAATTTATTTTTATAGGCAGTCTTGTAAAAATAATTTTTCTTGGGTTTTATGTCTGGAAAGTGTTCACTACATTACAGGCACTGCATCAGCTAATAGTAATTACTGGGGGCAAAAAAACCCCAAAAATGTAGCAAAATTAGCAAATTAATTATATGTGAAAAGTTAACAGAAACTATGATTTAAGCACAAAGCTAAGAATCACTTCCCCAGAAATCCTCCTCCCAGCTCTGCTATCTGATTTTTTGTATAATCCCAAATGAATCTAACCTTTCTGTTTCTCATTATCATGAAGGTTAATTAGTGAGTGGTTGGGCAACACTTGGAAAAAAAAAACAAACCACAAAACCCAAAACCAAAACAACCACCACCAACAAAAAAATCCCAAACAGAAAATGCTGACCACTGTTATGATGAGGTTCAAGATCCTTAATTTGACATGGGTGTACAAGTAGATGGTCTTTTAATTGCAAACTACATATAAGTGATACTTGCACAGTGGTTGACTTCTGATTGCAATTGCATATCTAAACTAGGGAAAAAATTGTAATTAATGTTTCAAATTAAATTGTAATTAAAAGTTGTAGGCATGGGTTGTGACAATTAGGTGTCTTCTCTTGTTTTGTGGAGCTTGCCACTATTCCAGAGTGTTATTGCAGGGCAGCTGCAACAGAAGGGGCAAGAACTCATTCATGTGCTTTAAACACTGTGGTACCTACACAGAGGAGTGAGTAATAGCAGCTGGATCACCACAAATGCCTAATTATGCAAAAGAAGGAGGAAGGATACGGTGTGAACATCAGCAGCCTGCTAGTAAGCTGACCTTTCTGTAGTGGGTTTCTAAGAGAGCACAGCATGATATGTGCCCACCACCCCTTTGGATGCAGTCAATTGTCCTGGCCTCCAACCTGGAGGACACACAGGGAGACAGTGCTGTGCCCCAGCCTCATGATTCTCTTTGTGCCCTGGTTCCCATGGGTAGAAAACCAGGACTAGTGACTGGCTCCAATAACATCCAGACCAGGGAACTGGGATTGCAGAGGGGTGCCCTTAAACACTTCCCACCCTAAACTTAGATGTAGTCTGCAGTATTCAAAGGAATCCATCAAACATTTTTTCTAAGTTTCACTCATCCTAAGAAACATAGACAAAACATTGCTTGAGCCAGCTTTGCTGGTGTCCAGCAGCCTTGTGCGAAAGATGAATTTCTTTCTCTCCTTCTCACTTTCTGCATCAGGCACTTTCACATGTTCATAGACTCGGTCGCTTTTTTATATACTTGTCAGAGTTAAAAGCAAATTTACATGCTTTGGTAACTGGGAACTTGTGTTATAATGCAGTATGGGGATTTCTTTCTGACTGCCTGAGTCAGAATACAGAGATTGAGGGTTTGAGGAACAGTGCAGGAGCACTGAGCCCATTCTTCTTACAGCACCCAGACTGTGGCTGAAGGTGGGCAGCTCTTGCATCACCCTACAACATGTGCAGGATGGCACTTGGGTAACAAAAGGTGACTGTTTAGAATCAGAGGAAAGAGCAGCATTTGCATAAGGTGAAAATGACAGAAAAAGAGGATCAAGTGTAGCATCTGTTGACCTGAAGGTTAGAAATTATCAAGCAAATCTACCTTATCCTGAAAATAAAAATAGATCAGTGCATCCAGTGGCATGTGAAATGGAAGATGCATGTGTCATGTGAAATAGGAGCTAATGACCAAGATTAACTATATTACCCAGAAAGAACATTTTTTCCCCTTAATGTCTCCAAGCTACTCTGTATCAGAACCTTCCTTAATTTTGTGGGTCCAGCTGACTGCCCACCACGACCTCATTCCTGGCTATGTAGAATTTGTCTTGATGGAATCAGAACAAAAGAGTATTTTGTAATCTGGTTGTTTAATATTAGCTGAAAAGGGGTATCCAGATGGATTTTTCTTTTTAGAGAATCTGATTGCCATGGCAAATCTAATCACCTGTGGGGAGGAAGAGGAGTTTTTTAAGTTAGTCACCAGGACTGAAGTCTTTAATTTTATGAAGCGAGAGATGTTCTGTGCCAAACTCCAGCATTACTTGAGCATTTAAGGATCTTAATGGTGAAAGTGTTGGGGTTTGTAATTAAGAGCTCTTACTAAAATAGATCTGTTAACATACAGTCTTAACAAGTTTGTGAACAAAAAATAAAAGAAAGTGGGGTGCTGGAAAGCTACTTTAATTCACAGAACAACCTAAATGATTCTGTGATTTTATAACTCTAAGGAGCTTTACTTAAGGTAACTAGAAATTTTTAAGTTGTGAGATGACCTAGCAGATGAAAGAATATAATTTGAGTTCTAAGTCTGATTTTAATTCTACAGTAGGAGACATATGACAACACCGGGTAAGATTTGTCTGAAAAATTAATAAAAATTAATTAATTAATTAATCAATCAATCAATTCCTAAAAGGAAATACGCTCTGACTTGTTTGTTTGTTTGTTTGTTTAAAAAGTAGCCATACATCTTCTGAGGCCCTTCAGTACAGCAGTATTTTTAATTAAAAGTGACATTCTGAATTCATTGGCAGGTCATATGAATATATTGTGCACCTTGAGGAAAATTTTGGGAAAAAGAACCCTCAAATTTGGTAGCAGTAACTACATTTAACCTGGACAGCTGTTTCTTTGCTGGTAACAGAATGTGGTAGATGCTTTCTTTTTGATGGCATAAGATTAAAGAAAGCATGCACTGTCATGACCAAAATATTAAGCTTGACAGCCTCTGTAAAGATCCCCCATCAGAATCTCTCAGTAACTGGGAAAGATATCCTAGGGCACAAGCCAGTAAGTAAAAGAAAGATAAAAAAGACAAAAAGTGCTAAACAGAAAGTTAAAAGCAGGCTCAGTCCTGACATCCAGAAAATTATTTGTCTCTATAGATTGTCTTACTGTAATTATGCCCAGACACAGTTTATCTGCCTGTTAAAAGCAGGCATTGGCTTTGACAACTTCAGTATCTAAATAGATATTCAGATTAAGGTTTATTTTCTACCTTTCCAAGGAGTAATTTAACCTATTCAGCTGCCTCTCAGTGTTTCTATGTGTTTATTTTCTTCTATTAATAAAATAATAGTCTTTACATTTAATTTGATTTAAAGCTCTTCTAACTTTCAGCTAATGCTACTGCTTTTCTTTTTTTTTTTTTTTTTTTAAATTGACCCCAAATTTGGCTTTGCAAACCTCATTTTTTTGTTCAGAGTTAGTGAGATTTATTTAAATCTTCTGTGAAATTTAGTTTCCATTTGCAAAGATCTCAAAGAAGAATTCACAATCATACTCTTGCTGGTGGGGTCCCATCAGGGATGGAAAAGCCAAATGTTTAGAGTATTGGTTTTGGTAAATACTTCTGGATATGTCCTTGACATAGGAGGCTGAAGTGTTTCCCTCGGGGCCTGCCCTTTTTGCTGCAGTGGGACTGGACCTTTGAAAGCATCCAGCAGTGTACATTGTCACACCATTTTGCATCTTTGAAATACAATCAGATTCAATTTCCTTGTAATCAGTCCGTGAATCTAAAGAGAGACATAAGAACTTAAGACCCAGACAACAGCTGATTCCTGAAGCTGGTTCTTCCTCTCCCTTTCACACTCCTGCAAAGGCAGAGGGGAGACTCCCAGAGGGGTCACTGACCTCTTGGGAAGCAGATCTGGAGGCTGTTCAGAGAGGTGTGCCTGCTAGTGACTGTGTTTTACACCCAACAAAATGCCTGTGCTGGTGCATAAATCTGGGTCGTGGTTTGGCCTTTACTGATTTTTTTGCTGATTGTGGGTCAAACATTACTCCTGGTTGCAATTAGGAATTAAGTAACCTGGTTTGTGGGAACAGTGGAGTTGCTCCTAATTCACAGTTCATAACAGAGACCAGAGGTCTCTGATTTTTAAAAGATTTAGCTTTTGTTATTCCAAAAGTGCTCAGGACAGACTGATAGTGCTATACAGTGTATTTTAACAATGTCATGAGAAGAATGACAAATTGAAATAAGATCTTCACTGCTAGGCTGTAAGTTGGGGAATTTTTACTTTATGTTACCTTTTGCTTGAATAAGCAGTTGTGCATGATGGATTTTGACAGAATCAGGGAGGATATTCTGAAAGGCAAAAATTATTTACATTTCACAGCTGACTGACTAATGGTCTGTCTCTCTGTGCTGGATTCGACAGTGCAAGTTTCATCTCCAGTACTTCTAATCTAGCGGGGAATCAAAACAACAATGTGACTTTCCAGCCCAAGTGATTTGGGCAGGGATTGCTTGGCAGGGCTTTCTGTGGGAAATCCATGCCACCTCATCAAGCTTGTTTGGCAGAAGTGAAGTCAGTGCCACGCTCTGCTCGTTCTTCTGTTCCACCATGACATGAAAGGGAGGTCTCAGGAATGTCACTTTTGAAGACAAC